CATCAAAAAATACGCCCAGCAGTATAGGTCCCATTTCAAACGGCCACTTCGACTTGGGATCCTTCCCTTGTCAGAACACCAAACAGTGACCTACCTCTTCGTTCAATAAAGCCACAGCATCATCGTAAACACGGCCTTCGAAAAATTTCTCGCATTGCTTGTACTCATCAAGTAACGAATTAAGCACGAAACCAGTATTTGAAAGCAGTCCGTTCCCAAACCTGCACAACAAATATCAAAAATTTCTATAGAGAAACAATGGCTCCCCTAATCAGTTATATTAAATGGAGTAGTCATAATTAATATAAGTGTAATTATATAATGAAAATCCACCTTTCGCAAATCTGATATACGGTATTGCACACAGCTTTCGCCATTTCCCATTCTGCGTGACTCAGTGAGCCGAAATATTCGTCGAGTATCGACTAAAAGAAGACGCTCAGCAATCTATCAACATCACATCAGATACAGGAACAAAACCACAAAAAACAACGGGAAAACAACCTTGATCAGGACGAAGTTCTCCATTGAATCCACCTCCACAATTTCCTTGATTCTCATGCAAAATTTCTCAGGAAGACGATTGACCATAGGACTGAGTGCCTGCTGAATATTTTGCCACAAATATTTGGAAGGAATAGGATATTTCATTCCTGTCACTGGGTTAATACATAAGTTGAATCGATTTTTTTTCAATCGGTTTTTGAAACTGGAATTTTTGCTATGAGACCCTATGGTATCAAATCACGTCGCATATTGTTCGGGAATGTTCATCTTCATTGAATCGGTACAATTTGTTCGAAGCAGAGATGTAATTCAGGAAGAATTTCAGTCGAGCGAAGCGGAAGGTCGAACCGACAAACATAGCTAAACCAACAACATACTAACCCTTCATTTTCCATTGCAAAACAACACTGTTGCACTGTTAACCTTACCACTACTTTTTCTAAACATTTCACCGGCAGGTTTTCCCACGTACCCTTTTTTTCAAAAATTGCTTTCCTGTTAAAGGTAAAAAGCTATGACGCCTTCTCACATTGACTTTTTTCCTAACTTCTCTATTCATTTTGACACCACTCCATATGCCAAATATTTTTCTCTTCTTCTTTTTCACTTTTTCGACTCTATTTCAGGATAGGTTCTGATTATTCGATGGTTTACTTTCGGCCGAGAACGCGTTATGATGCCAAATCGTCAAAAAGATTCTTGAGTTCTTTGCTTCCAATCGGAATACCCTCTTCTCGTGATATTCGGTGCTATCACGAATAGAACGAGTCAACGCCTAGCCAGGAAGAGAATTCTGATTTTAATGGACAAGGCGTTGGTGGAAATTCAAACTCGAAAGAAAAGGCACCTCGAGCAGCGCGTATTGAACAATTGCTTAAAGTAGGGCAAAACTCAAAGGGGAGATTCTAAATCGGTGTGACCAAGGAATTGAAATGTCAAGTGCATTTGGATGCTGATAAGAACGTATATTGAAATTCCACTAGTATCGATATGTAAGAATGAACAATGCTTGTCGCACAGCTGTTGATGTAAACTTGATAGTCAAAATCCCAAAACTATGGAAAATGCAAGTTTAATGAATATATGTTGTGTATACAATCAAGAACTATGCATTAAAACAGTTTTTTCAAACTACACGAAAGGTACTGAGTGCTGCGAACGTAATGACTGACGATGCAGTAAAAGAGTCGATATTTCTACTGCTCCCACCTCAGTTTTCAGAACTTCGATATGGTGTGCTTCGACATACCATCTATTTCTTGAATAGAAACAATTTGTTCACTAGTTAAAAAGTTGCTCTAGTGAAATTATGTTATCTTCCGATGGATAACCAAGTATATTAAGTATATTATCCTTACTTTATATAACGCGCTCGGGTCTGTCTGTCTGTCCGTCTGTCTGTCTGTCTGTCTGTCTGTTTGCACGGAAATTCATAATCATGCCCCGTGGATCTAGGACGTTCAAATTTGGCAGGAGCACAGGCGGCAGAATGGGAATACATATGGTAGGTGGCAAGACCGGACTCTACCCACAGGGAGCGGTGTTTGTGCGAAATAAATGTTCCAGCGAAAACTCATAACTCCTGTCCCTATTAACCCCGAAAGTTGAAATTTGGTAGGAGTACCCAAGGCAGGGGGAGACAGTAAGGTTTGTGGCAGGATCGGGCCACAGGGGGCGGGGTTTGCGCCAAAATTGCCAATTTGGCCCTCGGGCGTTCAAACTTGGCTGGAGTGTAGGCGACAGGATGGGAACACTTATGGTAGGTAGGAGTACCGCACCCCTCCCATAGAAAGCGGGACGTGCGCGAATTGGCTTCCAGGCGCTCAAACGTGGTAGGAAGACAGGTGGCAGTATGCGAACACTTATGGTGCGTAGTAGGACCAGACTTCGCCCACTGGGCGGGTTTTGTGTGAAATAAATGTCTTAGCGAAAATCCATAACTCCTGATCTCGTGGACTTGGAGAGCAAAATCCATAGGAGTAGAGGGGGCAGGATGGGAACACTTACGATAGAGGAGATCTTAGAGAACAAGATCCAATCACCAATTGAATCCTAGCGCCTTTGTTGCTTACGATCTAGCTTTGATTCTTTGACATGTTTCATTCGACAAGAAGGGTAAGTGCACCGACAGGACCGATTATGAAGTTTGGTTCACTTCTTGCTTACGACCGCTACCCAGCGAAGTTTGTGATTCAATGAAGGATCATGGTTTCTCTCTGTCTTGATATCATTCATGGAAGAAGTTATCCGACCGCTAATAATTTGGATTCTCATTTAATGATGTATAGAGAAAAGGAGCTGTATTCATGAAGACATTTGATAATGGTGATATTATGACTCAACAACATTTGCGAGTACCATTCAAGGATTTCGATGCCTACCGGTTAAACCTTCAATGGGTCATCACTGAACAGCGACTGATCGAGTCTTCTAATCAAAGGCATAGACATCGGCCATGTTGAATATCGTTTGCATGCCATTTTGCTGCTCTATCGAATTTCGAGTTCCGAAAACAAAATGATCCTACTATATAATTCGATAAGTGTGTCTGTTGGTTTGTTGGTATGTTTGTCTGTGTTTAAGTGTCGGCGTGTGTGTTTGACCGGAAATTCACTACTCCTGTTCCAGTGGACCTAGAGCGTTAAAATTCGGTAGGAATACAGAAGGCAGAATGGGAACACGTATAGTAAGTGGCAGGACCGGATTCCGCCCACAGGGGGCTCAGCGCGCGATAGGAATTTTGGGTCGCAAATCCGTAATTCTTGATTACGTGGTCTTAAAGCATTGGAACGTGGTAGGAGTACAGAAGGCAGGACGGGAACACTTATGACAAGTGGCAGGACTGGACTCCGCTTACAGGGGGCGGGACGTGCGCGAAATGGTTGAGCGGGAATTCATAAGCAGTTTGAATTTGTCAGAGCTTTCCGTATTAACAGTGGAACCTCGACATTTTAATAAGTGGTTAAGGTATGATATAGGATATGGTAGATACTCGGTGATAGGTGACATAAAAGAAGATAAGGGGCCTGAGAAAGCAAGAGCCACCTACCGGTCAAAATCCTAAGGCCTACGTTATCTACGATGCAGCTTTGACTGTTCAGAATGTTTCATTCAATAATACGGGATGGTAGAGTAGGGTGACAAAAGTGAGTGATAAGTGCAGTGATAGGGACCCATTAGCGGCAAAGCGATGAGCAGATGAGAGTTTTGTTCATTTCTTGTTATCAGATTACGAACACTACCCAGCAAGGTGTGTGGCTCAATGTGGAACCCTTTGATCGATACCATTTCCACCAGTTCTTTGAAGTTCTAAACTAATGATATCTCTGTAAAGAAAAAGGTTCATTGATAACGACATCGGATAATGGAGTTATTATCACTCAAACATTTGTAAGAACCGTCCAAGGCTTTGCTTACCTAACAGTTGAATCATTATTGGAAGATCGAGGCTTCTAATCAAAGGCGTAAGCACCGTCTTACACTGGATACCATTTGCAGTGCTTTGTTAATCGAAGGTCAAATTTCGTGAACGGGGAAATATTATTTGTTTCGAACTGACTGTTTATTATACATATGCCATAGTACATTATATTATAGCTGGCCCACTTACTGCCCTACTTACTGCCCAACTGAAATCGTGCGACCACGTAGAGTATACAGTCTATGCAGAAACATTCAACTTCAATATGTGTATAACTTTTTGTGTTGGCCGGTTTGGCAAATAAAAAAATGAAGCGTACACCAAACCTTAAAAAGAGCGTACGGCAATGTTGAGCTCTCGAGGTAGCAGAATAGTTCCTCCACAAGATCGTTCATGTTGAAATCGGCACCTGGAGGAATAGACCCCCTCAACACGTTCATACACATCTGCAAAATGAACTCATTTAATAAAATGGGTGACCCATCACAGCTACAGAAAAGTTACAAGCCTCACATCAAAGCATATACTGTGTTTCTTCGTTTCCGGAATAATGTGCTCGTTGTCAGGAGACTCAGCCCATTCAGAGAATGCTTCCAAAAATGGTCGCGGTTTATATTTCTCGCTGTCTTTCTGATCCACCAGACGAGCAATCACTGAACCCGGGTAAAGAAGATCGCCTTCTCTAGCAACATGTTCTAACCTATATAATAAGATGAACTGGTCAAAGCACAAGTAATCAATGAATGAGAAATATCTGAAACATGCCTTCCCGGTGCCTTCTTTACCTCCACATTGAACACTAGCTTCATCGATTCGACAGAAGCGTAGACTGCACCAACGCCAACCCATTCCTGCAGGAATATAAGTGCAAGAAAGGGATCTTTTACCACTTTATCTCATCCAACAAGCAAGCCTTTTTTGTTTACAGCCTCCGACTTTTGGTTCGGTAACAAACATTTGGATTACTCCATAATTTCGAGTGGACGATGTGAAACGAATGTGGGACTTATTACACGCTTTGGAGCATCGATTGAACGCAGAGTCCTGGTGAATACCTTGACCATACAGTGGGTAGTGCTGAGTCAGGGCGCGCCATCCATAAGTTTGAAAAAAGCGAACCGCTCAGCACGATGGTGAGGGACGCTACCCAGACCGCTTCACGAGGGTGAGACAGCTGTCCACTAGTTTTTTTCTTGTTACCAAGACGAGGATGGTCACGCACGCATGAACAACTTGTCGGACTCGCGACCCGTGAAGGCAGATCGAACTGGGGTGAGGGAAAATCAAGTAATGGTGAAGGGCTGACGGCTTGTAAAAACCAATCGCAGAATCGAGGTACGTATCTATGTTCAACGTAGCGTACTTTTGTTAGGAGTGGATTTGTGTTGACTACAGTCAGAAAGGGGTTACCTCCCACATCTTGCCTGTATGTGTATATGATTGTGCGGGTGCGTATGGGTTAGTTTGTCGCGGATTGATGTTTGGCCGAACGCTTTTTCGGTCGTAACTTATCTCTTATAAGGGAAGGATACGTCGCAGTGACCATTCAAGATGAGATTTATTTCCCCGTGGGCAGTTTTGAACGCTGATCACCAGTCTGCGTTCCAAACCTGCTAAAAGATTCTGTGAACAAAGTTACGGAACCGATGCCTCCCCGTGTTATACCCAGTAATGAATGGATAACCGAGCCGAACAAGGCCTTAGCACGTTGACGACAATGTTGCGCATTGGTGTGCGACAGCCAGTCTGTCTCATGGGACGATGTCGCTCAATGCTGCGCGACGGTGCATTCTTCAATCAAAATGTGGGTGCCCGTTCCGTTTTTTTCTGCAGATTTACAATTTATGCTTACGAATAAATAGCACACTATTAAATTAATTCCAAGACCAATATTTCATTTCTATTTGCAACTAACAATAATGAACTGTTTGGAAACAATCTAGGCAACAAAATTTATTACATTTACTGCATTTTGACTTAGTCCTCTTGGCCAGGCTCCTCCCGGTCGACGTGCCTGATGCTGCAGAGATCGAACTATAGCACTCGGAGCAGAACCGTCTGTCCTTAGCCTTCGCATTTGGATCAGCCACAAGCTTCCGCTTGCGCGTTCTCGAACTGCTTGTCGGCGTGTCGTCAAAGTTCTTGTAGAGCAAGTCGTCCACAGTTAGCTCTTCGAAGTAGTTTATCTTGATTTTCTTGATCTTCTCGCAATATAAATATCGTCAATCGCAATATCGTCGCCATCTAAACCACCTGCAGCATCATCGTCGCTGTCGAGCAGCCAGTTGCATTTCGATATTCGGGACATTCATGATGACAAGAATAGTTGCAATGCTAATAATACCCTCAGAGATCCTATTGATATACTCCTAATTCAAATTTATCACTGCCAAACTTGAAATTACCCCGAGTGGCCACAAATGTTGGACAAAATTCGAATATTGCTGGATGGTTTGCGAAATATTCTCTCGTTCCACGGCTCGTCGTCGGCTCGTCATCAACATGTTACTGGGCAACGGTGGCACAGCTGATAGGACGGTGGACTGGTAGGCGTGACATCAAGGTTCGATTCCTTGACGTTTCGCTTTTCCATGAAATGCGTCCTGAACTCTTGCAAAACGTTTTTGGGCTTAATATTAGGCATCTACGGAGCTCCTCTATAATTTAGGATTCCGGGAAATAGTAATTCGATAAGAAAATTTTTACCGCCTTTGACCGAATATACGTTTACGCCTCCCTATCCCGAACAGTCGAAAAGTGTTTCGAGATCTTCAGCAGCTCCCTGCACCACTTACAGTAGACGGCAGTCGAATTACTCATCCGACCACAACCCTCTCTGGGAGGGTTACAGACCACACTTTCTAGGAATGCTGTACGCGTGGTACAACTTAACTGGTACTGTTGAAGAAGTAGTGAATAACAATAGTTTATCACTTTGTGTGCACATATGATTATCCGCTAATTCTATTATTGAGGTGAACACCCTTTCAGAAGGCCCTTTCATGAGGTAAACGTGGTGGTGCGGTGAGGCATGATACCACGGCTGTACTCAAAACCCTGAATTCACCAACGACTTGTTTTGAAGTTGACCTTCATTGGTGATTTGAAGCGGAAGTGACTGTCGTGTAATGGGACTCTTACATAAATTTTATAACTTATTATTCCAACTTATCCGCTTGTTTTGCACCTCATAGTTGCGACCACATCAGACATAGAACAATAGACCAATACGAAAGCTCATGCCTTCTTAATTTCCGTAGACTGCACTCTGTTGTGACTATACAGATCGTGTTTCTCATGTTCGAGGAGGTGCAGCTTCTTTTGAAACTCGAACTGTAGGGCCATGGACTCTTCTACCAGCGCCATAAAATTGGAGCTCATTGGCCAGATCACAAACTTGAAGGCTACTTTTCACTTCGGAACCTCTATATCCCTCCAAAGGTACGAGGATTCTTCCGTGAAGTTAACACCGTAACTGTCATCATAAGGCGACCGCAGAGGATCATTGCGATCGCCCAACGGACTCACGGACTCGACCTCCTTACAAAGGATAGCGGGCTTGTTTTCACAGCATCGAGAAGTACGGTTCAGAAGCTCTTCATCACCGCCCATACCTGGATGGTGCCCACGTTATGCTGCAAGAAAGAAAGTATTCCAACAAGTATGATGACACCACCTTCGGCCAGAAGAGTCGCTAGTGTTATGTTGAAGAGCGTTCCGATGAATCGTTTGGAACTTTCCTCCTGGACGCCTCTTGAGCCCACTTTGAGCATATGTTTGGTATTCCTCCTTTGCTTGAATGTAGCTCCACCCTTATTGGCCAGTGAGTGCAAAAAAAGCTTCCCTGAAATGCCTTTTTAGTGATCCCAAATCAAGAGGGAGCTCCGTAAATTCCCAACATTGAGCCAAAAACGTCTTGCAAGCGTTTAGGACGCACTTCATGTAGAAGCAAAACGAGCGCATACGTCAAGGAATCGAACCTTGATGTCGTGCCTACCAGTCCACCGTCCTATCAGCTGCGCCACCGTTGCACAGTTACGAATTTGTTCGGTTCGATGATCCGTTCGTTGCTGTGGTATAAGACAGGGAGACTTCGGTTCCGTTATTTTGCTCCCAGAGTCGTTTAGCAGATCTGGAACACAGACTTGAGATCAGCGTTCAAAACTACCCACGGGGATATGCATCTCATCTTGAATCGCCACTGCGACCAAATATCCTTTTCTTGTTAATGAAGCGAATTGCGCGATGTTTCGATACGTTCAACATAAGCATACTTCACACTATCCAACATTTTTTGACTGCAAAGCGTCAATATCCGCATAACTGTCAAGGAAGGTCGTGGGACGCTCTTTGAAAATGGTTTTTTGCATGGTTACCCCACATGTTGAAAAGTGCGGGGGAGTTTCATAAGTGCTCTCCACGGTTGAGCTCCTGGCAGCGACGGATGGTATGGTGAACTGCGACGTGGACTTCGAACTGGGATAACTAGGCTGGATTGATGGTTCGGATCTCCGAGGCTTTACCGTTTTTCCATTTTATGCTGTCACCTCCAGACTGGCTCTATATTGCATCAGGGCCAAAGCAAGTGCCTTACTGGTCATGGTCGTGACCAGGATCACCGATAACCTCTAATAATCGCTAGAATTTGATGTGTGGAACACTATTAGTGGAGGAGCTTATAGGCTTCACACTCCCAGGAATATAAAGGGGGCGATTCATTTCACACTAGATAAGTGTTATAATGGGGGTCAAAACCCTATAAGGTTCCTGTTCGATGGAAGCTGTCATCGGCCACGCTCGTCACTGCAAAGACGATAGGATTCCCATATACATTGTAGCTCCCGATTCCGACCTTTCACTGGGGCGTCAACCGCGGAATCCTGTGGGAAACGAATTAGATTCTCTTTCAACTCGCCTTCTTGCTGAAGTATCCATGAGCTCTAGGCCTGATATAAAAAGCTGTCACCCCTGAAGAAAATCATTTTAGCGCCGGATTACTAGATTAATGACTAGGTGAAGGGTTTATGTGATACCCGTTCCCAACATACGACCCCTTAACTTCGCGTCCTGCTATGAAGGGCTGGCAGGACGCGATCAAGAAGGACATTGCTGAAGTCGAGGTGGCTGCGGAAGATACTGATCGCGAGGAGAGAAGGAAATAGAGGAAACCAACGAGAACAGTGGACAAAAACACTTCAACGGCGCGAGATCAACGCTAGAGTAAAAAACGGTGAAATCATCGAAATTAAATGCGCCTTTCACCAGTTTCGGAGGAATTCGATCAAAATAAAAAAAAAACAATCAAACCATTACTGTCCGAATTACTCACAGAACTGTATAGACAGTGCAATGTCCATACAATGTCCGAAGTCCAGGTGATACGATATCGAGTTTTTTGACTACCAAAATGATATCATATAAATTCACCAACATTTTACCTACTAAATGAACTCTCGATGTGAGGGATGCAAAAACAGCCAATGAAAACAACTGATGAAAAAGCTACGTGAAGAAGTTGAAAAGACTTTATACTCCTGGGAGTGTGAAGCGTGGAAGTTCCTCCCCTGTTAGTGCTCCACACATCAAATTCTAACGATTTGTAGAGCTTATCGCTGGTCCTGGTCACGACAATGACCAGTCAGGCACTTGCTTCGGTCCTGATGCAATATGGAGCCAATCTGGAGGTGGCAGCATAAAATGCAAAAAAATAGCAAGGCCTCAGTGATAAGAACCACTACCCCATCCTAATCCTTCAACTCGAAGTCCACATCGCTATCCACCACACCATCCGTCGCTGCCAGCAGCTCAACCGTGGAGAGCACATATAAAACTTCCTCACTTTTCAACATGTAGCTCCCTTTTTCGGTTACTGTTCACGTTATTTTCAATGCGCACTAGAATGGCGCCTTCTATTATACTGAGCGGACAGTTGGACGCCATGAATGAAACAAGCGACGCTCAGTGGGTTAAAACGGCAATTTCTGACAAAATCATTTTCACTTCTTTTTTGGCATTCAAAAGGCCATTTGGCGGAAATGGAGCATAGTTTTGTACTCAGTGCTTATGCCCCTACACCATGCAGAAAACCATTTTCAAAAAGCGTCCCACGCCCTGAAAGACCTTCCTTAAGAGAGAAAAGTGTTTGTTGCGGTTGTAGACTTCGCTGAAAGCAAAGTTAGCGACGTCTCCAGTTATTCGCACCTTATGTGCATTTCCGCTCGTACACTTTGGAGATGGCAAAAAGAGGAGAATTCCTAGAAATACCAGTGACTCTATTCCCAATTGATTTTGAGATCAAGCTCTTGGGAGATCTGGAACATAATCAGATTGTAGATATTGGTAAATACTCTCAATATACCCATGCTACATATATTAAATTTCGCATGACTAGATCCAGTAGGACTGTTGTGTATATGCCATGCGTATGTGTAGTGGATATGCGTGTAGGTGTCACGGAATTGATGAAAGCTGAACTCCATTCAAACATAAGGTCTAAATTCTGAGTGTCACGAAATTGCTATTAACTGCACTCCAATCAACCATAAGATGTCCAAACTCCAAGAGAGTAGAGGAAACAAGGTAAGAATCCAGATACAACATGATGAAAAGGACAACAGTAAAGGGAAAAGGGTGTTTGATGGCTCTGCTAAGGCGAATAAAAAAATTTTCATAAATGCTTCCCTTACAGAGGACCTTTATAATGGGCGGAAATTGCCCGCTTGCAAAACAGAACATAGTGTAACGATCAACTCCGATCAAAGGATAGCGATCAAAAACGATATGCACTGCAGTAGACCGGCTACTCAACCCACCTTTTAAATAAAAAAACCTATTTAAATAATATACCTACGCATCAAGGAAAAACACCAAAAGGCCACATCAAGGAAAAACACCAAAAGGCCACAAAGTAGGAGAACCTGCTTTGAGCTGGACGATCAGACTGGATTTTGAGAGCTGATAAAAAGCAGTACATGGTATAAAAAGGGAGCTTTCAACAAACAACTGACGAATTTATCGAAAAACGCCTGATGGGCAAAAAAATGAAACAAACCAAAAACAGCGTGAAGTCTTATACTACTTCGGAGATTTATATCAGGCCCATTGCTAATTGCCGCTCAGTTTTATTCACTTGGAAAACATGCTCAATATTTACGATGCATAAAGCGCTCGTATCTGCCTTCGTCTGTATGTGTGTCACGAATCTAGGTGGAACCTAAAAAACTGAAGGTCGAGTCTAGCGTGGAATGGAGGCCGATATCAACATAACACATGCGAACGCAACAGAGGTCCGTCTATTGGGGCGGGTATGCACTGGAGCGGGAGGAGGACGCCTTTGGGCAGAACTTCATTTGGTTCGAAAATAGACCCAGACAGCTGCTAGAAGTGAGAAAGAGAGAGAAACGGCTGACAAGTAAAACAAAGGGGTTCTAACTTTGGTGGAGAAGGAACTCAAAGTGGGCGGTACATACGAAATAATTCCATAAGTCCTTCTCACTAGAGCCTGAAGAATTATCGTCGTCTGAGTCGACGATCCCCGTCCCTCGTCGCTCTAACTGTCTCAGACGACGTGGGACGCCAACTATGATTAGGGGGGTCAAGCGGGCGGGGCCACCAAAAAGCGTGGTCCCCACTCTTCCGCAAAACGACGATAAGAGACGTTGGTTTACCCGTTTAATTAGACGTTTCAACCTTGTTCATTTACTTTGCCTTTCCTTCTAGCCTTTTGCATATTTTGTGATTGCTGTATTTATCTTGTCGATTACGCATAAAATAACACAAAAGATAAACATATTTAAATAACACCACTGAACCACCTCGCACATTTTGGTACATCGGCCAAAAAGTGAAAAAAAAAACAGATTTGGAACAGAAACAGAATCGAACGTGATTCTGTGGATTCCAAATTATTAAGTAGAATCGAACGTGATCCTACAACAGTCGAATCATCGAATAGAATCGAAGGAGATTCTATCTTTCGAACAATTCAATAGAATCGAACGTGATTCTATTAGATCTACACAAAGCAGCAACTAAGAACATGTCCTAACAAGTGGATAGAGGCTGCTGAAGGAAATTTCAATAGCGGCACCAGCATGCACCGAGGTGGATGGAGCTAAGTCAAAATAAAGTTCTGTTTAAAAGCGTCCTGAAATCCGAAAAATGGTCGGAGGCTGTTGAAGGAAGTGTATTCAAACGTACAAAGTAGGTGGAGGGTTCGCCGAGGACGACAAGCTGAGATAAAACATCCTAAATTCTGTTCAGTAGTGCCCTAAAATCCAAAAAAGACATTAGAGACTGTTGATGGAAGAAGGGGTCAAGATTTTATAGTGAACGGAGCTGAGATTAAATATCCATCTGTTCAAAGACCTCGCAGAGTCCAAAAAAAGAGGTAGAGGCTGTTGAAGCAGGGCCGACCAAATCTACCTAATAGGTGGTGCGTGCACTGAGGCGTCCCATTATATATGAAGGCATCACCATTGCTTACCAGAGTTGCGTAAAAATTGCGCATCTGATGTCCGCATCTTAAATCAAAGCATCTGAAGATGCAAATACGACATGAATAGGGCATAGGGTAAGATGAAAAGAGCACGTGTAATCACAGCGGAGCTCCACCCCGAGAGCGGGACACGAACCCTTGACGGTGTCGGGGAAAATTTCTCTGATTAGTTTCAGAAATGTCCAGATGCCAGGAAAATTTGAGCAAAAGTGAGGAAATGGGCAGCAAGTGAAAAGAGGGATAACAATCTGCGATAAACAGAGCGTATTTACAGTG